CGCGTACGATTCCGGAACATAGAACTGTATAATAAAAGATTTGAACAATTTCTCTAGAAATTCTAACCAAGGTTCTAAATAGTTTGTTCTTCGTTAAAATAAAATTCTTTACCTTGGGGTGTATCATATGATATCATAGTGTATCGCAGTGTAGCAATCAAATGTTCCAGTGCATAGGAAGATCTATGAAATTTTCATACAATTACATTATTAACAAAGAAATTGATCTAACTGAGAATGTGTCTCCTCTCTCACCTGAGGATGGAAACAGACTCAGTTTCCGAAACGTTATGTTTGCTAGTTTCTAGAATACCGGACGACTGACAAACTCCAAAAACCCAGTGGTTCTGAGTCATAGAGAAGTATGTACTTTGCAGAGTCGATAGAAAAGGATCGTAACCAGCTCAGGACTCGAACTCAGTAACTTCAGAATAAGCAGCTTGAATATTAAGCACATGTAACCATGACGTTTCTCGTTTAGCAGCAACATGGACTGGTTGCCTGTAGCCTGCGTGTCCGTGCACATTCACTTAAAGAGTACAAATTATAGGGGAGGTTACAACTTAACAAAATTACATGTCCCTAGGCTGTTATTGTTTCCCTCCCAGTAAAAACAATAGCGTAAATTTCACCTGTTTGGTACTGTAATTAATATCATATTAATTACATTTAAGAGTATAATTTAAGTGAAGACAAACACACTTTTTCTCTTAAGAATTCTCTGCACGAGAGAAGTGTAGGTCTGCACACAAAAAGATGGGAGCAGGTTATTAAAACCTCCATTTAATTTACGGTAGGTAGTTCAAACAGATTTACCGGATAAAATTAAAAAGTTTTATGGTTTAACACATCGCCTCTGTGGTCTAGTGGTCGGAGTTCCTGGCTACAAATCCAGAGGTCACGGTTCTATTCCCGGCGCTACCAGATTTTTTCTGAGAAGTAGTATGTCTGGAATGGGATCCACTCGGCCTCCTGAGGATAACTGTGGAACTATTTCAAGGAAATAGCGGCTCCGGTTTATAAAACCGAGATTAACGACCGTGGGGATCCGTTGCGCTGATCACGCAACACCCTCTATCCGCTAAATTTCGCACTAATTTCGCCGACAAGCGGCGTTCTCTCTGTCGGTATAGTTCTCTTGAGGACTAAAACCACGGACTTGGTTTCTCTTCTTGTTTATGGCTTAACTTGATGTTCTCTGATGCCCAAACACTAATAACAATTCTATGTTAGTAGCTCTATCTATTGCTATTTCCAATCCAGTTGTTAGTTATCATTTTGACCATGCCATAACTCAGGCCGGCTTCCCATCGCGGCGGTCCGCGTTCGAGCCTAGTCAGGTCATGTTGGATTTGTGATGGATAAATTGGAACCAGGACAGGTTTTCTCCGAGTTCTTCGGTATTCCCTGCCAATTCATATTCCACCGACTGCTCCAAATTCATCGTCTATCATCCGGGGTTGGTACAACAGGTCAATTAGTGGCCGACGTACCAAGCGGACTCAGTCTCGCCCCATTCAAAGAAACTAAAACTAGTTATTTCTGTGCCAATATACGAGGATTACTATCCTGACAGTTCTTTGGTTTCTGCATTTATACTAACGTTGGATTTCAGACAAGGACTCAACTTCTTATTTCTGTGTTGATATTAACCTACGGTGTGAGATCAGGCTATTGTTTAAAATTTATTTGTTTGTAGAAACCTGCGGTTAAAGATCAGGTCACTGTTTTAAATTCCTTTGCCAGTGCTGCCCTCGGAGTGAGACTTCACAACTTCCATTTTCTGTGCTTGTACTAACCTACTTCTTGGGGTTCGGATAATGTTACAATCTCTGCGTTAGTATTGGTACCAGGCCGCTAGCCACAGTTTCTGTGACAGTAATAACCTACAACCTGACACATGCCGATGTTTACAATACGCGTGCTAATACTACGCAACGACCTGGGATCAGACCAGCGTTCACATGTTCAGTGTGAGTACAACATATGATTTGCAATCAGGACATTCTGCACAATCTCTGTGTGAGTATAAACCTATCTGGCAATAGGCAGATACTTATTATTTCTATGGGAGTACTTACCTACGGTTTTAGACCAGGCCACTGTTTACACTTTCTGTGATTGTACAAAAGTACAGTTGAGACAAAAATATCATTCATAATTTCTAAGTTAGTACTAGTGTTGTGTACCATAGCTCAGGTGGTTAGACGCCGGATTCCCACTGCGGCATCCCTCGTTCGATGCCGGGGTCAAGTCATGTGGATTTGTGGTGAACCAAGTGGCCCTGGGGCAGTTATTCTCTTGAGTACTTCGTTTTCCTATGCCGAGTACAGGGCCGAGAGTAGGCGGGAGATTTCTACAACCCCGGAATAGAAAGAAACTCGTTCCCAGGCTCACTAAGTGCATTGCGATCCACGGTGATTATGTTAAAAAATAAATAAAGGTATCACACAGAATTACTGGGTTTTTGGACTTTTTCCATCGGCCGGAATTCTAGGTAATAGATAACGCTCTAGGTAATACAGGACACGACGTTTCAGAAACTGGATCTGTTTCCGTCTTCAAGTGAGAACGGAAGACACCTACTCAGCTGGGTCCTTTAGAAAGAGCTAATCTCAATCACTGGAGAGATTAGCTCTTTCTATGGGGCCCAACTGAGTAGGTGTCTTCCTCTCTCACCTGAAGACGGAAACAGATCCAGGTTCCGAAAAGGTGGGTCCTCTTACCTAAAATTCTGGATGATGGAAAAAGGCCAAAAACCCAGTAATTCTGCGCCATCCACCACCGTCAGAACCCCTTAGATTCTACTTAAATAAAGGTGTGTTGTAAAAGTGCTAGAAGTGAATCCCTCCAAAAATAATGATCTATAAAAATTTTCCGGACTTTGTGTCTTTAATTTCCGGATATGTTTCTTATAAACATTCAATTGGTATCAGTCGCACAACACGTCAGTAGTCACCTCCAGTCGCAATATATTTCGTAGTCACACCAATAAGAGTCGTTACCTACTGGATGTCTCAGACACATGTTTGTGACTCACTGATTCACAACACTGTAAAATCAATGCTAGAAGATATTAATAGACTGCAAAAGAGTATACATTTTTGTTAGAATTTTTGTAGAAATTCTTAGTTTGTACAGTAGATATTGCTATAAGAAATTTCGTTGCAGTTGTTGTGGGCGTGTTTCTATAATTTGAACTTGATGACAATGGCAATATAAAATTACATGACACGTGGTTCTTGGTAACAATTCTATCTGTTATTCAATTGTCACGCTAAGCCTTTGCCAGGCCACAGACAGCAGATGTCTTTAGTGGTCCTTAATAGCATATAATACTCAGATTTCTTTGCCTTGTTTTTCTTGTTCACGGTATACTGAGGCGTGCTTTGGCTGAGATGAACAATAATTTAACATTTCGCGTATGCGGAACCAGTGTTTTGTACGTACTATTTTGAAAATTATTTTAATAGTTGTAATTTACAGTTCTAGTGGGATTAAAGGCACTAATCTTATAGATCTATTTGTGATGTTCTCTTTAATACTAACAATAAACACGTATCAGCAGAACAAACTTTTCATTATATAAATCCTCCTTATGGAAAACACCAGATTATGCAAAATTTTATGTTTATTATGTAACTAAAGGTCAAAAAGGCGCAGTTCTCCAAACGAACAGGTTATAAGAGTGGAAATGAGTACATAATTTTATTGAAACATTTTAGAATAAACGATTTAATAACATTAAACTTGTAATTATTATGACAAAATTTGGAAGCCTGAGATTTATCATTGTCATGAAGGAATTTTAGGTTAACTTTTAACACGTTCCACGGAGGTTGGTAGTGCAGTAGGTCAGGAACGAGAGAGCAGTTTCAGTTTCAATGTATCGTGGTTTGGTGAGTGGTAGATAGATAGATAGATAAGATAGATAAGATAGATAGATAGATAGATAGATAGATAGATAGATAGATAGATAGGCAGGCAGGAGGAAGGCAGACAGGCAGGTAGAAAACAGACAGAGACACAAAATTTTCCTCAGTTTCTTCATCAAATACTTAATTTCGAAACAGAAGCCACCCATACCATTGTGGTATAGCCGATTAACCTTCTCATAACATTTTCTCTTATTGCTAGTGAGGTGGGTCTAAGTCCCTTGTACTGCGGCCACTTCTGGCCTATTGTAGCAGGCCCAGATGATTGGTGAGGGTGATTGTGGAGCAATTGGTGGAATGAAGATTGTGAAGGGAAACCGAAGTACTTGGAGAAAACCTGCTCCAGCGCCACTTTGTCCACCACAAATCCCACTTGACCAGACCCGGGATCGAACCCGGGCCGCCGCTGTGGGAAGCCAGCGACTAACCGCTTGAGCTATGGCGCGGCCTTCATATAACATACCTCAACACATATCGTACTGCTCCTTATGCTACATAATAAATGTTGAAAGTATCATTTATGTTTCAGATTTACTATTCTGGAGTCATGAATGTTTTGAGAAAGAATCTTAAAGAATACTTCCACTCACTGCAGAGACAATGCTCGTAACGCCTTTTTCCGAGAAGATTTTAAAACGTGTCGGATAAATCTTCCTTCTTGGACAGATTGCCCACTTTGCTGACATTTGCATCGTATTTGAAACTGTAAACCAGGATTATGTGTAGCCTCTGTTCAAATACTTGTATTTGTCGCGTATTGCAACATTGTCACAGCCTAACCACTCTCTCGTGGTGCCTGGATTTTGGCTAGGTTGTGAGGAGACACTGTACACAACATGTCTGTGCGTACGCAAACTTCTTTGTAAGGACTTTCAAGACTACGAAAGAATAGAATTCTGTATGTCTGTTCCTACTAGATTCAATTGTGAATAGGAATATCAACGACAACTGTTTTCTGATTTCTTTGTTTGTTGGTATTTTTAGGACTCTTGAGGAATACATGGACCGCCTCTGTGGTCTAGTGGTCAAGAAGACAAAGTAATAATTAGCGCTAACTGTCGAGAAATTGTTGGACACCCGCCACTCATTGGTCTTAAACACCAAATACAGACCAGAAGGTCAGTTTTTTTAAGCAAGGACTTTACCAAATATTATACAGCGGGTCAAAACTGTAGGAACGCTTCTGATAAAAAAGTGTTGATACATAATTATTGGTAATCTGTGTGGTAGCGGATGGACTCTGGTAAATTTTATTAAATTCACTTTAGTGGTGTATAATTCAAATATCACAAAAATCTTGCATTAGGTTACGACTTAATTCACTGTTGCTTCAAATGTTTACACTTCTTTTATTTTGTCTCCAGAGAGAGGGAGTTTTTCTTCTTTTTTCCCTTCCTACGTAGAAAGTTTTCCCTCTTCCCTTCCTCTTGCAAGGCAGATTGCTAATTAAAAGTTGTAATTGAAACCTGTAGAAGCGCCTACAGTTCTGTAGAATCGACTGGCTGGCCGGTGTGAGGAACACGGTGGCTGTCGTCAGGGATCCTGCAAAAAAGAAGAGTCGAATACAATGTAACAATAGTTGGATCACAGATTATCTAGGGAAAACTGTACATGAATATGTTCTGTGATGTCCCATTAAGACGACTCTAATCAGTCAGCCTACATCATTTATTTCAGCTGGTTCACACAAACAGACATATTAAATGTTAAGCAATTAGCACTCCTATTTTCTGTTTCGAATTTACCCTGGTTCCGTTCTCGGACAGAGATATTAGGATTTTCGTAGGGGATATCAGTGCTCTCAGGGAGTTCTGGGGGTCAGATTTCTTCTACATACTTTCAAATTCGTCATGCATAACTGTTCATCAACTTGGCGATAAAAGATTATAACATAAACCACATCAAATTTAGAAAATTTCCTGAAATTAATTTAGAAAGGAAAAAACAAGAAAAGGAAGAATTATACGAAATGAGGGTTTTCGTTATTTTTCTTAGTCCTTGTATTCACACGCTGCGATAATATCCAAAACTACGTCATATTTGCTTCCTTCCATGTGATTACCAATCCTAACTCTCCTTCAATTATTCGGTGCTGTATAGTACTATTTCCCGACAGTGTTATCAAGTAAATTACACAGAAACAAAGCAGGACAATGAAACAAGCATAGAGGACGGGAAGTAAAGACGAAAAGAGAGAAACATATAAAGAAGAAGAGAATAATCTGAAATACTTATATAATTACTTAATTGCGATTATTCCTATGAGAAAGAGAAGATATCAAGTATATGTCGTACAAAAGGGGAAGCGAGAAATGCATGTAAAATTTAAGTAAGGAAACAAAACTTTAGGGACCTCTTGATAGATCTAGGCGCTGATGAGATAATAACACTAAATTTAAACTTTGCGATATAGGCGCGAAAATGTAGACGCGGTTGGTGGTCTCATAGGAGTAGGCAGTAAAATTTCCGAATTTTGTAACTGCATCGAGAAATATACTGTTTATTCAATGTATTCCCAGCTTTCCTCCATGCAACTTTCTCCAACCTCCTGTTATTTTATCTCTCTTCGGTCTAAACATTCTCTTCAACACCCTGTTCTCAAACACACTCAGTCTATGATCAAGTCAAGGAGAATGAGGTAGGCAGGGCATGTAACACGGATGGGGGAGAAGGGGAATGAATATACGATAATTGTGGGCAAGCCAGAAGAAATTTCTGAATTTTGTAACTGCATCGAGAAATATACTGTTTATTCAATGTATTCCCAGCTTTCCTCCATGCAACTTTCTCCAACCTCCTGTTATTTTATCTCTCTTCGGTCTAAACATTCTCTTCAACACCCTGTTCTCAAACACACTCAGTCTATGATCAAGTCAAGGAGAATGAGGTAGGCAGGGCATGTAACACGGATGGGGGAGAAGGGGAATGAATATACGATAATTGTGGGCAAGCCAGAAGAAATTTCTGAATTTTGTAACTGCATCGAGAAATATACTGCTTATTCAATATATTCCCAGCTTTCCTCCATGCAGCTTTCTCCAACCTCCTGTTATTTTATCTCTCTTCGGTCTAAACATTCTCTTCAACACCCTGTTCTCAAACACACTCAGTCTATGATCAAGTCAAGGAGAATGAGGTAGGCAGGGCATGTAACACGGATGGGGGAGAAGGGGAATGAATATACGATAATTGTGGGCAAGCCAGAAGAAAAGAGACCACTAGGAAAACCAAGGCGTACGTGGGTGGACTATATTAAAATGAATCTTAGAGAGATAAGTTGGGATCGTATGGACTGGTATGATCTGGCTTAGGATAGGAACCAGTGGAGGGCTCTTGTGAACACGGTAATGAACCCTCAGGTTCCATAAAATGCTGGGAAATTCTCTTGAGTATCTGGAAAATTGGAGGCTCCTCAAGAAGGGCTCAGCTCCATGAGAAAGTAAGTAATTGAGAAATTTAGTAGTTTTTTTTTTTAATCAGCGTATTCCTTGACCACTATAAATTTTTAAAGAAAGTCCTGAACCTTATATTTGGTTGCTTAAGATTATATCCTGAAAATATCAATTTGAATTTGGCACAGTTAATAATTTATAAATTCGCTAGTGGACGAGTTTCGGCTTGATCAACGATCTTCAGTGTGTCTGAGATCGTAGTTCTTAAATCATTGCCGCTTTTGTGATTTGAGATGTAACATATCTCTCTTATAGTCTTCTGTTTCTCATTTAGTTCAAGTTCTGAAATTTCGCAAAATATATCGTGGACACACAACATGAATACTTGGATATCAGGACATAATTTTGCCCATACAAATTTATTAAAAGTAGATTAACTATAAATGAGTAACCTACTCATCGAGCCGGCACTGAACACTGCATAACCGGCAACAAGGTTAGGTTGAAGACACATGAAGAATTGTATACACTGCATTGATTTAAAAACTATGACCTAATTGCCACTGAAAATGGCTGACAAACTCAAACTTATTTCCTACTGACTTTATAAAACAGAATTATTTTGACAAGTATAGACAGAAAACTTGAGCCGGGATAGTGCAGTCGGTATAGCGACTAGCTGGAGGCTGGAGTACAAGTATCGGTAGGTTCAATAATTTCCTCTCCTCCACGTCGTCCAGACCGGTTCTGGGGCCCACTCAGCCTCCTCTCCAATGGGTACCGCGGTCTCTTTCCCCGGTGGTAAAGCCGCCGGGGCGTGAAACTGACCACTCACTTCCAACCAGTGCCCAGGTCAAGAAAACATGGATCTATACATCAACTCTCCCATACGCCTTCATGGAGTAGTGCTTAATTAGTTAAACACAGGGACAACTTTACATTTTACATAGACAGAAGGCTGCAAGAAATAATCTTGATAAAATCATTATTCTTTTTTATATACCTAGATAGTTTATAGTTTAAGTGTATATTCCTCCCACACCCCCTCCCCCAGTGACGCATTCGCAATTTCTCTGGCCAGAATTCTTTGTTTCACTTCATTCAGATATTTTTCTTCCCTTTGACTGCTTTGCTTCTGTTTGTAAATTCACAAAACCGTTTCGTTTTCCTTCGAAACGCAGCGAGGAACAAGTTTTGATTTCCCTAGCTGAGCTCTTTCAATTTTGTCCTCTCTAATTGCTGTTTCCTTTTAATTGATCGTTAATTAAAGAGCGGGAGTTGATTATTTGATTGTGCGTGCCAATTTCCACAGAGTTTCGGCTTTTATTTGCAAATCTTGGAATATGAAAGTGACATAAGTCACATCTTCCTTCTTTTGACGATACATTCTGTTCAATGTAACAACCTCTACTATTGTACAGCAATTTTTCTCAGCCTGTGAGATCAGTGCGAATATACACATGTCAAGTGGGCTATGAGATTGTAATTAGATAAGTGTTTCCATAAATTTAACAACAGTTCCTAAAGTCTGGTATTAGTATTAAGATTCTGTTCAACCTCTTGTTCATTTCATTGCCATTTGTTGAGGTATCTGCTAATTTGTCGCTACTTTGACCTATAAGCTTAATTACAATTATTACACTCTGCGGTTTTTAGAATAGCCACTTATTAAAACCTGGTACATAATTTTTCAATCTGGTCACTTACAACTCGTTCATAAAATGTTATTAATTTGTTTTTATGTGAACTGTAGTGGAAGAACACAAAAAACAATAACGTAATTATTCTTCATACCTGCACGCAACTTCATATTAAGGCGTTAATTGTTTTCCCCATGGATGTTTAATTAAGTTATATTATGATGTTTCTCCGCGTGGAAATGTTTGAGGTTTGAAATTTCCCTGAAGAAGTTGGTCAATATCTGAAAACTGCAGCAGTTTCACATATGTAACAAAGATCGGAGATGGCTGTTAGATTAAAACTCCTCTCTGAAATAAAACGTTATATATATAGCTACATATGTTGCGTAGACAGACTAATATATACGTAACATTAATGTCTGTATTCGTTTAAATGACCACAGATGTCACACCGTCATCACGTGAAACAATTCTCTGCCCTTACGTGATTTCCCTCGTCGAAGGTGAATTAATTCCGACTAGTGAGAGGAGGTTTTCATTTGACTAGCCAGATATACGGAAATGTTCGTTTTTTTAATATTGTCACGTATCCGGGGGTTGCGTAACTGATAAAACGGGTTTTGGATTTGATGATCGAATTTATTGGACCTTTATACAATTGGTTATAACAGTTCACAAATCACTATCAGACACTGTCATCTTCTGACTGGACAATCCACTGGAACTACTTTGACTTCCTAATTCTCGACAGCGTCCAGACCGACTCTGGGCCCCAACCAGCCTCCCACCCAATGGGCGCCGGAGACCCTTTCTTATAGGGTAAATTGGCAGAGGCGTACAGCTGATCACTTAGTTCCATATAGTGCCGAATTCAAGAATGTTGGAGCTATACTTCCACTGCCTTATATGTTTTCATGGCATAAAAATTATATGCTTGACTATGAAGTAGATTACAAACTGCTTTTCGCGAAGAAGCTTTCAGTCGAAGCTACTCTAAACTCATTACAAGAAGCTGCTTTATTGAGGTATAATATTTCTGATGAAGTTTCTATCTGTTGCCAAAGGTAAAGTTGTCCCTGTGCTTAAGTAATTAAACACTACACCATGAAGGTGTCTGGGGGAGTGGATGTATAGATCCACATTTTCTTGACCTCGACATTAGTTGGTGAGTGGTCAGTTTTACGACCCGGCCGCTTTACCTCCCGGGAAAACGCCCCCGTTACCTATTGGATAGGAGATTGGGTGAATCCCAGAGCCATCCTAGAGGACATGGAGAAGAGAAAATTCTTGCCCCACCTGGGCTCGAACTCCGACCCCTCTCTCGTCCAGCCAGTAGCCAGTCGCTATACCGACTGCACTATCCCAGCTCACACATATTTGCCAAGAAATGTTCAATCTAAGCAGGATTTAAAATGCAATACGAGACAACAACCAACTTATCTAATGTATTTTCTGGCTCTGACCGTACTATGCAGTCGACATATCTGCAAGCTCAATGCTTCACATCCTAGGGACCGGTATAATGGTGCTGCATAACATCACGTCAACACAGCAGAAGAATTTTATGTGTCCATAATACCTGACATAATACGATGCAGCAGTGACTTGAACAAATCATATCCAGTAATTACTTTATCACCTAGCTTCAATATAAAGTCGCGGGTTCAAGTCCGGACGAGGTCATTGGATTTTTTTTCAATTGACCTAATCCTTCCAGCCGCACTATAGTCCTGGGATCGACTCAGCATCTATCAGAAATGAGTACCAGGAATATTCCTGGAGAGTAAACCGCGGCCGGCGCATAAGGCTGACAACCTCACCGCCATCTGTGAGACGATTGTCTAGATAATGTGGGAACCTCAACGTCTCACAACCTTATAGGCCTTCAGAGCCTGTTACAGGGATAGCTTTAATTTTTTACTTTACCTAACTTCAACACAATGTTAGTTTCAATTAAATACAGACATTTTATCTGTATATTTAAATTGTTTACATATTTTATATCCTTTATGTACACATAAAAATCCATCAGTACCTGGTCTTCTCTTGATGATGGATACTTCATGATAGAATCTTGCCAGGGTTTTAATTATTTTTGATGCGTGAATTTAAAATAATTTAGATATATTTGGATGGTAATTTCATATTTTCCTTCTAAGCCAAAACCAACATCTTTCAATTATGCACAGAAGTAGTCTCTTTTTAGATTCATTTCCTTATATTCAAAGAATTAAAGTAGGCTTATGATATCACCTTGCTGTCTGTGTGTCTATATGTGTATCCCCCCTTATCGTTGTTAGGCAACGGCTCGGTAAACACGTTCCAGAGACAATGATAATTGTTGAAAGTGTCGTTTTCTATGCGGTCCATGTGTTTCAAAGGAAAGTAGGTTATTAGTTTTTCCCAGAACTTCTTGTTTTAGTAAATTTTATGCTCTATTCCCCTTAAAATTTCAGTGGAATATAAATTAGTGATTTATATAGAATTCCAAGGAAGGTATCGGAAAATGTGTGTACTCCACCGGAGTACACGATTTCCCTTTTATTATAAATAGATCACATGATCTGTGAGATGGGGTGCTGTAGCGTATGTGTTCCATACAAACAGCTCTCTAATTCTGTTTCATGTTACTGTTCATGTTCCCTCTTCTTACGCTATTTACATCGAAGCATTTCTCCCCAGTCTTTTTTTCTTACCCTCATCAAACCTCTTTGTTTTAATGCCCTCTAATCTTCCTCTTTCTTTTCGTTTTCTCCCCTCATTTATCTACTCTTGGCGTTTTTAATTCTTTTCCACTCTACATTCTGCAGTCTTTTTGGGTTCGTCCCTTGTATAAATCTTGACTGAGATTTTCTTATCATTTAGGACAACTCTTGCAATGTAAGGGACATGGGTGTGGAGGGAGGGTAGTTCAAGACGAGTAGCTCCTTAAGGGATAGAAGCCATTAGTTAACCGGGTTGAAGAAGGTGTCAAGGGATGCTGGAGATGCAAGGCAACTGTATGTGTAAGAGGGAGGGGAGGGTGGTTTTAAAAGGAGTGGGCTGAGGTGCAGTGGGTTGGGCGACTGTTTTTCTACTTTGTTTTATTACGTAGTGTAGGCCTACAAACAAATCTTGGTTTCGCTCGTTTTATAACAGGTTCCACAAACATACAACCAGGAATGAAGTCTTGTACCTGTTTCGCTAGTTGTGCTACCTTCTGTGCAAAGGTTTCCAAACTATGTTCCCACATACTTCTCACTTACTTTTCCACTTACGAGCAAGATAATTTTCTTCGTTTTTTTGGCTTGCATTTAATTGGTATTTCAGAAGATCGGTATAATAAATAATCTACACAGTCTCTCAACAATTATAGCTAAGTTATCACATTTGAGATTACTTTTTGGACTTTGTCAGTTGTTTCTGGAAGAACGTAAGTTTCCGGGATCATGATCTGTTTCTTCATCAGGAGAAAGAGTGCAGAAACTCTGTCTCAGTCTGCTCGGTTAGGAACATCTCATTTCAGTTACTGCAGCTGTGACTGAGATGACAAAATGGGCTCAGTCAAGTAACTGTCCCTCCAAATTTCTCCAGAGGACAGAAATATACCCATTTTCGAAAAACAAAGTTTACATTTTTTAAGAATGCTATAAGGCGGAAAAAGCCAAGAAACTCAGTAATTGCAAGTGTAGAATACCTTAGAATTTAGTATCCGTGATCTTAAGCAAAGGAAATTTCACGTTACAATGGGAACGCAACAACAACGCAATAATTTTATGAATTTAAACTGGCTTTAAAACCAATTGGCCAAAATCCTAACTTCGGCTATATGAACATATATTTTTCATAAAATGAATACAATTTATATAATAATAATAATAATAATAATAATAATAATTCAATTCAATAATAATAATGTAGTTGGAATAAATTCAATGCTGCTGCTGCTACTACTACTACTACTCATATTAACTGCAATAGCTATATTAATAAAGTAAAAATTTCCAGTACCAAAACATAACGTTGTAATATGGATTGCACCCCATTCATGTAACCTGTAGTCTGCAACTTTACTTCCTGAACTATTTCGGATTATCTAACAGGAGCAAATGACAATATAAATTTAATATTAATAATAATAGTAACGTCAAGATGAATTTCGAAGCAAAAAAAAAGATTCCCAGTAAACACTCCTTCACTGAATTTAGTAAAAAAGAACTTAGGAGGGAGATAGCACAGGTTTTGAGGGCGACAGAAACCTAACAGTAAATTTAACTTCAAATAATTTTCCAGGAAATTAATCTTAAGGGCAAGACGCAAGTTCTGACAGGATACTCTGTAATATGGTGCTAAGTACGATAAAATACAATAATACGATTATACTAACTTTTGGAACCAAAAATCTATATTCTTTAGAATAGTAAAAATAAGAAGAAAAAGGAATACCAACATTACTTCATTCCAGTTATATCACGAAGCAGTAACCTCGATAATTCCTGTCTCGAACTAGAGACCGGCTTTACTGCCTGAGGTCTGGATGGCAGAATTTCGATCCAGGGCATATACTTTGTTGACAAGTGCAACTTGTCCCTGAAGTCCACTCGCATAAATATGTAATGAGTTGAATGGGAGAAGCGGCAGGACCACCAGGCTAACTACTAATCCTGACCTAATCCCAAGTTCCAGAATGCTTAAGCTTGGCCCGCGTCCGCCTCCTTCAGAGCTTAGGCTGAAGAAAAAAGTAAATTTGTACCGGTGCTTAATCAAGCACCCCTTCTGAAGACATAAGGGGGCGTGAAAGCAGAGCTCTAAGCATTCTTAACTTTGACATAGCTGGAGATGGGTGGTCGGGTAAATTGCTGCTGGCCTTCTTCAGCACAGTCTTTCATGGTTCTGGGCCCCCGGGATTTATGACCATATTTCCTGCATCACAACTCTGATAGATCAGCTTCAATCCCCCGTCACAGTATTCCCGAGAAAATACGCCCCAGTACCGACTAAGTAGGAAGACACGTGGTACCCAGAGCTGCTCTGGACTCAGTGATGAAGACAAAAGTCTCTTGCCCTTGCCGGTAATCGAACCCTGATCCATCAGTCATCCATCCCGTAACGTATACCGAATGACCCATGCCTGCTCTAGTCCCAAGGGCTGCTTTACTGTTAAGGAAAGAGTCGCCATCCCCCGACTGGAATAATGTTTGTTAGTAGGGTAGTAGTTCAAGTGGATGAGGAGCCGTACCGTTGCAACAGAGAACGGGCTGAGGCAGCGAGGCTTATTCTCCTGAGAAGAAAAAAAGGTTTTTCTTCGTCGGTCGGTATGAGAGAAGTTTGCATCCAGCCTTATCGGTGATCGCCCGACACACTGAGGGCCCATTTATCACTTGCAGAAACATGGACATTCTGGAAGCAGAGAGACAGGTAATACCTCGATCAGACCAAGAATGCTGCTATAGATTCGATCAAAGCAAAAAAGATGATCAACTCTTTTCATGCTTGATTCCAATAATAAATATTCTTCTGTTAAGTTCCTTTCAGTAAAGCGTCTATTGTTTAACGGTTGATAAGCCGACATGGCAGAACATGTTTCTTTGACTGAAGTCTTAAGCACAGAATGAATGCAAAGCACCAACCACACTGCCTCAGTAGGTAACAGTTGCGATTGACTCGAATTCAAGAGGAACCCAGTTCGGATCACGGCTTCAGTACCGACCAGCCTGACCGAGGATTCTAGTGGTTTTCCTCAGACCTTCCAGGTGAATATAAGGACACTGCTGTAAAATATGCCTCGGCCGCTTTATTCCACATCCTTTTCAATTCTTATTTACTATCACCCAATCAGTCTACCTTATACTGTATTACTAATGCAAAAGCAGATTTGTTCCTCTGCTTAATTAGTTGAGCATTTAGGCACTACTACATCAAGACGTATGGGGGAGTGGACGTATAGCTCCAACATTCTTGACCTCGGCACTAGATGGAGGTGAGTGGTTAGATTCACGCCCCGACCGCTTTGCCCCTTGGGAAAGAGCTCTCTGTAGTCATTGGATAGGAGGCTGAGTGGGTCCCAGAGCCGATCTAGACCAAGTGGAGAAGATGAAAACCTCTTTACTCTGCCGGGACTCGAACCCCGGCAGTCTAGCCCGTTGCCCGTCGCTATACCGACTGAGCTATTCCGTCTCCCCTTAGAATGAGCAGTGACTCCCTAAACGTTCACTTAATTGAATATGAAGGGACTAGGCTGTATAAGTATAAATGTACTGTACAGAAATAGTGATGAGTCCGGAAATGTCCTAGGTGTAACAAGTAAAGGAAGTAAAGAAAGAAAATAATTTTTGAAGTTTCTGTTTTTTCAAAACAGGATATTCAGTACATCCTTATATTATTTGCACACACACACACATACACACACACACACACTCCTGTCACCATGAATTCAATTTAATTGCTTTTCCTTTCCACTAATTGGTCTTGCATACAGACGTCTGCCTTCGGTGCATCTAATGTTTCTGTATTTCATCACCCTCTTTTTTCTGCTTCATGTAGTTTCAGAAGTCTTCCGCAAGCGGCAGCACTTTCTTCTTTGTAACTACGTTTCTTCGATTTTATTTTTCTTTTGTGTTCACTCATTTCCGATTTAAGTCCATTTCCTGCTCGTTTTGGACGTTCAACTTCTCTTCAGCTTTCTTGAAGTCTAAGAAACGTTGATTTCTTTTCGTATTCTTTTTGACTTTCGTGAAACTGGAAGTTTTAACTGAGGTTATCTTTGCTTAAGGGCAAGACAAATAACTTGTCTCAAATTGTAAGTTGCTGAAAGTGATGATGAGCGATACTGGAATAGTCAAGCTGAGAGGGGTGGATGTTAGTTTTCTATCAGAATTAAGTCACACATTTATCCGGATTATTTCCTACCGAAGAAAGAACCGTAAAACATATGTAACGATAATTTTATCACATTCTTTGCAACATGACAATATCTTACAGTGTCGAGTTTTATTTGTCTGTGTCTCTTTACCCAAGTACAGTCGCAATAATTTTACAGATATTGCTAATATACGAGTATCTTTCGGCTTTATTATGACAGAGCACTCGGAAGAGATATTAGCGAATGAGAAGTCATATTCATATGTATCATTAATTGAGAGAAATTTAAATTTAGACAACAGCTACTGTCCAGTGCAGAATCGTGTACCATGTCGTGTCCTTCCTAAAACAGTGTGGTGTTCATGGGCACGAAAATTGGTTTATAAATGTAAAGGAACATTTCGACGGTACTGACAACAAAGTGTAGCACAGAAATATACACGAACTGAGAAAGAAGACGTAACGAAGAAAATCAAATAATGAAAGATTCAGTTTGTATTGCTTTTATTGCTAGTGGGGTGGGACTAAGTCCCTTGTACTGCGACCACTTCTGGCCTATTGTACCAGCCCCAGTTGATAGGTGAGGGTGATTGTGGAGCAATTGGTGGAATGAAGATTGACAAGGGAAACCGAAGTACTCGGAGAAAACCTGCCCTATCGCCACTTTGTGCTCCACAAATCCCACTTGACCAGACCCGGGATCGAACCCGGGCCGCCACGGTGGGAAGCCAGCGACTAACCGCTTGAGCTATGGCTCGGCCCTATTTTTAATAGTTTGTATTGTTACGTTACTAATATTAATGGGTTCTGTATTGGATGATTGGATTCATTCACACTTCTCTTGCAATCTTTCTTACTCACAATCAGTTATAACAGCTCACAGTCAATGACTGCTTAAGACTCGCTCCATTCTACTGAACTGCGAGGGTTTTCTCTGTTACTGTGACTGACTTGCTTACGATTTACGAGTCACTCACGTCTGATTTACGAATGAATTACGAATGCCTGATGACGACTCACCTACGAATCACTGAGATTGAATGACGAACGAAGACTGAATGAATCCAAGTCAAAGTCCAAGTCACACTGCGACTGACGGTCAGTCAGTCAGTCAGTCAGTATGTCTTGGTGTCGAGCCCCATCTGGGGCTCATGACCAGATATTTATTACTGTTTGGCATTTACGGTCTTGTTTTTGTGGGGCGCCCTCTCTGACGAGAGGACGGGTATGCCTTTTGTATATGATGCTGGCCCTTGCCAGTGCAGTCTTTCTCGGGTCTGAGTCCCTTGGGACTGGCGACCATATTTTACTGTCTCAGATTTGAGACTTCCCTTTTCGTCGCCTCCTACGACTCGTAGGGTCACGGTGGAGGTATTCGAACCCGACTCCACACGGGGGCGAATGAATCAATTAATTGTCCACCTTTAATAATTTCGGGGACGACCGAATATAAGTCACCACCCCAAAGAGCTCCTCTGTTATTTTGTGTTTATCCGTTGTTACGGAAACGCGTGTTAATTTCGTAGCAACGGTCTGGTTTTCCCACAAGCTTATCCGGTGCAGCGGAAACGTGCTTAGTGAGCCGTTTTCTAGCAATGAACACTTCAGGCTTTCAGGCGTCATATCACAGGATTTATAATCTGACTTTTGCTAAGGGATCATGTCTAAAAGAATGATGTAGGGGGGGGATGGAGCAGTAGCATGCACGGAAATAACAACAATTTCATACGTACAAAACTTCTGACTGTAAGTCCAAGTGTAGAGATGCCTCACAGTCATAGGAGTAAATTAGGCGTGAGCGGGTTTGTAAAAATGGATTATAGAGGCAGGATTTGAATGTATGGACTGAATCACACTCTCTCAATATAGGGCCCGGTGGCTTGATTTTGATAATACAACGATTAATATTTCGGGATTTAAGAAATCTGGGAATTTCTTTAAAATTTCTGAAATGTTATTGTTAATGAGGTTAACCTGCTTATTTAGTTTGTTTGAACATATTGCTGGTCCAGAGAAGAATTTGAGTGTAAATAAGAAATATAAATAACCATTATTTTATAATCTGTTTTGACAATTCTCTCGAGTTTATAATGAACAAATTTTATAATTACTTGGTACCGGCCAATCTCAAGAATTAGCGTTAATCATTGTAATGATTTATTTCCCAGATTCTTTCCATCCTCAGGCATTTCTTCTTCCCTTCTTTATAATTTCATTCCCTCCTTCTCTTTCACACCCCTCATATATTTAAACTTCATTAATTCCCCTCCTCGCTGCCACACGTAAACTTCCTTTTTTTTTCACACCCTCCAATGTGTTCGTATGTCGCTCTCCTGTCTTAGTGAGATTTGTCACCAATAGATGACAGAACGTGTCAAATTTTGTTCCAGAGAAGAATTAAGTTATTAAAGCACGGTATACCTTAATAGCACTAGCGCGTGTGCCGTATCATTGCCTCCACTTTCATCTATTTACGTAACAGATGACACAGCATAAAGAGCACTTGTGTGGAATTATCTTTAAACCCTTAGAATTATGGACTAATACGTTTCGCTGAATAAAATCATCCTTACAAAATCTGTTAGAAACTCTTCTATCTCGGATAAATATTTATCGATTTACATTCGAAACGCTAGCAGAAAATCATGCAGTTTTAATGTAAAGTATCCATTACTTCACTTAGATTTTAACCAAATTTGGAATGTGTCGACGAAGTATTGTAGAGTTCCCCTGTATCAAAGTAATGATAATTCTATTGGCAGATCTCGGTTTGTTAAGTGCGGACATATAGACAGAAGGGCAGGTGGGCAGACAGACATGGCAGAGCTAAAATGAGCTTGTTTTAATCGTTCCTTTGTGAATGCGACGAAAGTGAACAGATTTGCTATACGCGGAGCAAAATATATTGTCATATAACAAACTAACGAAATGATATATGTACCCTAAGCATGACTAGTAACAATATAAATTCTCTTAACTCACATGATTAAAGTTTTATTCATACTTAGACTGAAGTGTCTGAGAATAAAGTGCTCATTATACCTAAAATTAAAGAAAATAGTGGAATAGGATAATAACAAGAAGCTTCATAAATTGTACTCTTTACCTGATAATAAGGAAGTAACTGGATAAAAGCTATATTAATTTTTCATTCTTAAGTTACTTTACTTTGACTTGACTTGACTTAAGAAATGAAAAAATAATATAGCTATTAAAAATCTTAGACTAAGGTACAATAATAATAATAATAATAATAATAATTGAATTAATTTATTTGAAGTGATTGATAACAGCTAAAAGGCAAATTACAAGTAAGAACTGGAAGAGAATTAACAAAAATATGAAGATATATATGAGAAGAAATACTGAAAAAACGTGATATACAGGCGACATGACACTAAAAACTAAATGACATAATTACCACGAGAACTCAGAGAAAGGGGAACGTCCGCCATTGGAAGCCGTTACAGAACAACGGGTGGTGAAAGTGTGACTGTAAACATTTCTGTGTGTAATAGAAAATTGTAAAGTGTAGTCAC